ACATTGCAGAGGGAAACATGAATTAGACCTTCATTTGGTCTCACAGGATTCTGAACAGAGTGGTGGTAGGCTGGCTGGTGGACAGGCACATCTACATGGCGACAGGCAGTGACAAGTGCAGCCTCTCACAGAAGGCTAGGGGATCCTGCAGCTGAGCGGACGGCCGGGGTAGCCTTTCACCATAAACTCCGACCTCTGCATCAGAAGTATGGATAAACTACGGGAGGATGCTGAGGTTTGACTTCTGCTTAAAACTTTAAGACTTAACTGTCTGGATAGTGAGTCAGGAATCCTGTCATCTTTCTGAAGGGCTGCTGATAGCTATCAGCTGCAACTCTCTTCCAGTTATCAGCCCGAACTCTTTGGATGCGTAATCATTAAACAGATAAATCATGACTTTCTGGTTCACTCACCGGACTTGTCCTGGAAAATGTCCTCTGCCTCGCTGAAGTCGCGGCCTCACTGAGAAAGCAGGTCAAGTCCTTGGAGTGTGCTGTCTGCGCGGCGACCTCTGTGTGAACCAGGAAGGTCACAATGCAGAAGCCCGCTGATGCCCCCACCTCATCACAGCACGGGAGGGGGCACCCTATGCCTGTTACTTGAACAAATAATATAATTATTTTGAATCCTTTGATTTTTAACTTACTTATCCTCTCTTAATTTTCCTTATTAGTACAGCCATATAGGACATACTTTTCTGACTCTAAAATTGCTTTCCTAATATGAGAAAATTCGATGAAATGACCCTTTAGGCTCCTTTCAGGTTTAAAATTCTGTAAATAAATGATTTGTGAGTATATAATTAAGTGATGGGCAAAGCATGCCCTCCTTTGATCTGCCTGACTCCTCGTGTTCAGATTTGTGGAAATAAAATACTTTCTGGGCTCCCTAGCGCCAAGAAAAATGAACTGAATGCGTTTAAACCAGAAGTACTTTAAAAGGTGTTTTAACAAAATCAAATGATGGAAATACTTTTAATGCCTTTTTAAGAATCAGGAATTAATAGACAGTTTAGGATCCAGTGTACTGTAACTGCTGGTATTTTTGTAAGTAGCCTCAGCTTCAAGCAAGAATGTGTTCTGAGTTCCCCTCTATTCTCTCAGTGCAAATCAAGACCATTTCAACTTGTTTTAAATCGTTTGAATTAGATATAGCAACTTTACCTATTTAATATGACACAAAGTAAGCAATACTTTGAAAATTGGAATTATAGCATGTTCTTAGTTGATGTTGACGAATTTCTATTGAAATGTGGTCACTTTCCAAATCAGACTTTGTATTCACCTGAGAGTACATGTTTCAGACTGAGGCCAATTGCTTGTGCCACTGTAGGTGGATTTTTGTGTTGGTGTGTTATGATTCCATTTCACAAGAGGTTTAATTAACAAGCATTTCAGGGGGAAAGCTTTTTATTTCATGCTTCAAATGAATTTAAAATAAATAGCATTGTAAACTTATATTTGGTGCTTGTTAGGTGGTGGAATGCTCTGATGAATCATACCAGATAAAAAGATGTTGATTGGAGGTGAACACAGGGGAGAGATGCATGCTTTTCATTTATTTGAGAGAATGTAGGGTAATTAGATGTCATGGAGCATGTTCTTCTTGAAAATTTCTTGATTGAATTTATCTTGCTCTGTGTTTCATATATAGTTTGCACAGCCAAGAGTCTTAGGTTTGATTGCAATAATTTATCCCTATTTTTTCCTTCCCAGTTTTATCATTTAAACACTGTCTTCTACTTCAAGCATTGAAAAATAAAGATGTAAGAATGAACTCTGTAAAATGAAATCATTTCTTTTTATACAATTGCCAACCCTAATGTTTCCAACCTACCCTGGGTTTTGCTCATTTTTTTTATGGATTTGGAGTTTTGTTTTCATGAGGGAATTCAGAATTCCAATGTATTTTGTTGGTCTTTAAAATAAGATCACATTACTATCAACTAGAAAAGCAGACACTTGTTAAATGTAAAATTCTTTGACTTTGGTTTCCTCCTAATTAAATAGATCTTCCTTTTCTGTCCTGTGTAATATTTTCCTTCTTCGGTAAGGTAAGCTGGCAGTGTAACCTTTTTAGGAAACGGCCTTGAAATCAAAAGCAGTGGTACAATTCTTTCAACTTGACAAGTCAGTCAGCTTTTACTTAGGCTATCTATCATAAGTGTTACATTTTTTGCACTTTTCGAGAAGTCTGAAAATATCAGCTTGGTTTTAAATGAAAAGATCAGCAGAAAGAATGTGCTCCAAGTGCGAAGGTCTAAGGCATCCAGTAGTAATAGCTATCAATTGGTCTTGTGTTTCTTAATCATCTCTAGCACTTTGTTAGACATTGTAACCATGTGGGAGTTTAAATAACAGTGGCTGTGATCATCCCAAGGGGAACTAATAGAATGAAAAGGGATGAAAGCCAATGGCAGAACTAACCGTGAAGGACAAGCTAAAGAGGAGATAGCAAAGTCATGGTCAAAGAGGTAGGAGAGAGTCCAGGAGAGGGTATTGTAACAAGAAGCCAAGGAAGAATTTCAAGAATATTGTTGACTCCCTTGGGTGCTTTAAGATGAGAACTGGAAAAAAAAAATCTATTGAGTTTTGCAATTAGGAGGTCACTGCTGTCTCAAAGAGGAAGAGATCCTTCTTTTTTATAGAGCTGCATAGTATTCCATGTTGTAAATGTACCACAGCTATTTTATCTACTCATTACTGATGGGCTCTCAGGCTGTTACCAGATCTTAGCTATTGTAAATTGCACTGCTATGAACATAGGAGTGCATATATTCTTTCTGATTTGCATTTCGGGATTCTTAGGCTATGTTCCCAGAAGTGGAATCACTGGGTTAAATGACAGTTCCATTTTTAATATTTTAGAAAACTCCATACTATTTTCCACAGTGGCTGCACCAGGCTGCATTCCCACCAGCAGTGTACCCTTTTCCCCACATCCTCCCCAGCACTTGTCATTTGTTGACTTGTTGATGGTAACCATTCTGACAGGTGCGAGGTAATATTTCATTGTTGCTTTCATTTGCATCTCTCTGATGATTACTGACTTTGAACATTTTTTTCATGTTTCTTTGCCTTCTGTATATCCACTTTGGAAAAGTGTATACTTAGATCCTTTGCCGGTTTTTTTAATTGGTTTGTCTTCCTTTTGTTAAGTTGTATGAGTTCCTTACATATTTTGGAAATTAATCGCTTATTAGGTATATCATTGACAAATATATTCTCCCCTACCGTGAACTCCCTTTTCATTTTGTTGGTGCTTTCTTTTGCTGTGCAGAAGCTTTTTATTTGGATGTGGTCCCAAAGGGGAACAGAGGAGAAAATGCACTGTGTATTTGGATGATCCCTACCTTTATCTCTTAGCACTGTCACTGACAGTGATCATTAAGCAAGCATGTCAAACTTTCGGCTCACAATGAATATTTTTGCAGCCCAGCCAATTAACAATATGTAATAAATGCTTTAATAAAAATTTTGTAATTTAATTTTTACAATATCCTGTTATTCATAAATTATTAATAACGAACTATAATGTTCGCTAATGACTGATTTCTATAATCGTGTTGCATTCATTTCCCTTACACGCAGGTGCACCATTTCTCTCCACTAATACTAGCAGTGAATATTTTGCAGCCAGTTGCCACCTCATTAGTCTTGTACTGACTTGTTTGGTGTGTGCAACAAGAAATATTTCACTGTCAGAGAACAAGAAAAATAGGTTTATTTGTGTTACGCTTATTAAAATGTGTACAATTATTCAGTGTCTGGTAAGTTAATGTTCAAAAAATATATTAATTTTTTAAATGTTCTCTTACGTTATGTTAATCATTACTCACTTATTTCAGCCCTTTGTATGCAGTATGTCTCTATCGAAATAACCGACGCTGCTATGAAAATTGAAGCTTTTGTGTTTTTCCTGGCCCACATAAACTTAAACCTTGTTTGTTTGGCCTGTGTTAGCCTTTGAGTTTGACATGCTTGTCATTAAGGATAAACAGCTGCTGTTTATTGCTGACTCAATTTGAATCGATGATAATAGTACATTTGAATTATTGCTTGACTTGTGGAGGGAATGGGGAGAAGGTATGGGAAAGTCTAATTGTAATTTTTCAGAAAATTTATAAAACTATTCTGTGGTAATAATTGATGTCTTCCTTTAGGCTTTTACTACTAATTAGAAAGTGAACTGTGCAAGTGTGTGTGTGTATGTGTGTGTGTGTGTGTGTGTGTGTGTGTGTGTGTGTGTGTCTTTGTATGTACATGCACGTGTGTGTGCTCTTTATAGAAGTGCAAGGTTAGCATCATATCTGATAAAATATGGGAAGAGGGGAAAAAGGACTTTAAACATATATAACAGTTTGCAATGTTTACTATATTTACAGTAGTTTTGAGGCCTTTTCTAATTGTAATGGGCCCAGGAAAACTACGATATATATAAAAGCCCAGTGACCATTATAGCAGAAAGGCCGAAAGACCAAAACGACCAATTGCTATGACTTGCACTGACCACCAGGGGCCAGATGCTCAATACAGGAGCTGCCTCCTGGTGGTCAGTGCACTCCACAACTGGAGCACTGCTCAGCCAGAAACCGGTTTCACCATCTGTGTGATTCTGTTGATGAGTATCTGAAAGCTTTTGTTCATTTATTCCTGTAACCACATCATCCTGTGTAACCAGCTTCACTTCAAATCACCAAAACATCTGTGATATTTTATCTTTGGTCTTCTTTAGCTGCTTAACCTTAAGTATGCCATGTCAGCTTTTACAAAGTGCCCCTTAGGCAAAGCGTATTTTCTCATTCTGAGCATCCTTTTCAAACAACAGGATGTTTTATGACATTTATGAAGTAGCAAAGAGTTGTCTTTACTCCCCATTCGTTTTAGTTTTTTCACACACCATCATGAATGTTTCAGGTATTTTCCTTGTATTTCCGTGTTTTATAGAGAGGCGGAACCCTGAGCATGGTCTTCTCTTTGTTTCTTTTCTATCGCCTGCAGGATGAGTATAAGCCGGAAAAGTCTCTGTCTGAAGAGGACTTGAAAAACGCAGTGAGTGTGCACCACGCGCTGGCGTCCAAGGCCACGGACTACGAGAAGAAGCCCAATGTGTTCAAACTGAAGACTGCCGACTGGAGGGTCTTGCTCTTTCAAGCCCAGTAAGTTTTGCTGGTTTGGTTTCTTCTTGTTTCTTAGTTTGCACACCGCCACTTCATACCTGGAAGAGAATCAGGATCCGCAGGGGAAATTTTTTGAGTTGGAGTCAAAGCCAGTGTTTGCATTTGAGAGACAGCCGCCTAAGAAAACTAGAATAAGAAATAGAAACCGTGGGCTCAAGTGTTTTGTTTGCTACGAAGTAGCTCTGTGACATTTAGCGGGCCACTTGCCAACTCTAGAACTTCGTATCCTCATGAATAAAACACAAGGGTTTTAGTGTACAAGGCCTGCCACACAATGAGAAAAGCAAGCCTGGCTGCCATCACCATTTCCTAGCTCTTTGTCCTCCCATGTAATTTCACCTCTTGGGACCTCAGCTTGTCCCTAGTGTAGATGACAATGTACATCTCGCAGAGTTCTTGCGAGAATTGGATGAGATCAAGTGTACAAAGTACCTCACACAGTGTCTGGCACATAGAAACTGTTCAATGATAAGTGTAGATTTCCATTCATCCTCTTCCTTTTCTCTCCTCCTAAGCTCAACTCTGTGATTAAACTAGGTAGGAGAAGATAAAGTCATACTGTGGGCAAGGAAGTAGGATGGGTTGCCAGTTTAATGAGGGCTCCATGCCAGCTTTTGGGTTAGAAGTGGAGCATCCCACATGGAGAATCCTAGGTGTGGGGTGAGAAACTGGATTTTCAGAGTGATTGAACAGGAGCTCGCATGGCTTGTGTTCATGGCAGGCAGTGTTCATTGTCAGCCTGAACATGACTGCAGAATCACTCAACACAGCATGGCCGAGGGACCACATCTGGCATTCGGGTTCAAATTTGACATCAAGATAGTGAGCATGAGCCCAGCTGGTGTAGCTCAGTGGTTGAGCATTGACCTATGAACCAGGAGGTCACGGTTTGATTCCGGGTCAGAGCACATGCCCAGGTGGCAGGCACCACTTCCAATAGGGCACAGGAGGAGCAAATCAGTGATTTGCTCTCATCATTGATGTTTCTCTCTCTCTCTCTCTCTCTCTCTCTCTCTCTCTCTCTCTCTCTCTCTCTCTCTCTCTCTCTCTCTGTCTCTCTAGGTCTTTGTCCCTCCCTCCTTCCCTCCCTCCCTCCCACACTCCCTCTCTGAAATAAAAAATATCTTTTAAGAAAAAGATAGTAAGCATGAGTGTCTGCACACTTGTTGATCAAAACATTGTAAGACCCAAAAACAAAATAGGAACAAGAACAGGTGCTCAAGTGATTTGTGAATGTCAAACCTGCAAAGGTATAAAATTGCTGACATCCGGTGAGGAGGAAGTTGCAAGGACATCCAAGTGACACGGAACTTTTGTAGTGTGGGATGAAGATAGCTTAACGCCACAAAGAGATCCATAGGCACATGTACAACTACAGCTATGAGTAACAAAATCCCTTCAAGTTATTCTATTCCCCAACATTATTTTCAACCTAAAATACCAGATAGAATAACTAGGAGATCCCAGTTCCTTCAGAAAGAACTGATGCCAGAATTAGTCAATTGAAATAAAGAGCCGGCAAAGTCAGATTAGAGGGCACAGTGCAATGAGGAGATGATGCTCATGTGGTCTCAGGTTAGTGGGGTTTCTCTCCAAGTCATCAGTACAGGAAATGAGTTAAGCATGGCTGACATTTTGGCCATCTTCTGTTTATTGATTATATACATGGTGGATAATCTATACTATTTCACAATCATTTATGAGTTCCCAGATATTTATTAACTGCTGTCAGTTCTAGATTCTGCAAATAGGTGATATGTAAGTTGACAAATGATAATCTCAGATAATATCTACATCCTCTCATGTAGTTTTTTTTAACATCATATATATGTGTATACAACCCATTTAATTTCATAGTTAATTTGTACAATTCAGTGATTTTTAGCCAATTTACAGACTTGTGCAGCCATCACCATAGTTCTATTTTGGAACACCTCCATCTCCCCCAAAAGATCCCAGTGCTCAGTTTACAGTCACCCCCCATTTTACTCCCACCCGCACCCCCGACACCACTGATCTCTTTCCTGTCACTCTAATATCGCCTTTTCTGGTCGTTTCCTATAAGTGATATCATACAGTATGCCGTCTTTCATGTCTGGCTTCTTTCACTTGGCGTAAAGTTTTGGGGTTAGTCTGTGGTGTGGTATGTGTCAGCAATTCATTACTTTATTGCTGAGTAGTGGTCTACTGTATGGATGTAGACCAGATTTTGTTTAGTTATTTATTAATTGATGGACATTTGGTTTGTTGTTTGTGTTTTTTTTTGTTGTTGTTGTTGTTTTCTTATGAATCTTGTAAGGGTTGCTGCCGTGAATGTTCACAGATAAACCTTTTTGTGTCTCTGTGTGTTTATTTCTCCTGGATTGTAGCTGGGAGTCAAATGGCTGGGTTACATGATGACTTGTAGATACCTTTTGTTGTTAATCCTCACCCAGAGAATATTATTTCCATTTATTTTTAGAGAGAGTGGGAGGGAGGGGGAGAGAGAAACATCTATGTGATAGAGAGAGACCCATTGATTGGTTGCCTCTTCAACACATCCCAACTGGGGTCAGGGATCAAGCCTACAACCCAGGTGTGTGCCCCTGACCGGAACCGAACCTGAGACCCTTCAGTCCGCTGGCCAACAGTCTAACCACTAATCAAACAGCCTTGGGCTGTAGATACCTTTTGTAAAAACGGTCAAAACTGCCTCCAACATGGGTGGAGCCCTTCATAGCTCCTCCATCAGTGTATCCCTCAGTTCAGTGGTCGGCAAAATCATTAGTCAACAGAGCCAAATATCAACAGGACAACAATTGAAATTTTTTTTTAGAGCCAAATTTTTTAAACTTAAACTTTTTCTAACGCCACTTCTTCAAAATAGATTCCCCCAGGTGGAAGAGCCACACTCAAGTGGCCAAAGAGACGCATGTGGCTTGGGAGCCGCAGTTTGCCAACCACGGCCTCAGTTGGATTTTAAAATCAAATAGGTGATTGTAAAAGATGAGTTAGTTTTAATTTTTTTTTTTTTTTTTTTTTTACTTAGCCTAAGTATCAAACAGAAAGCAGGTTATCAAATATTTATTATCAAGTGATTTTGCTTTTCCCCTTCTATATCCCTAAGGGGTAATCACAGCCTTACACTACAATGGTCTTAGGTCCCAGGGCCCTTGGTTACCATGGTGATTGCTGTTGAAAATGTTCAGCTCCAATGAAGTTTTGCCAGGGCTTAGTTGTACCAAGAAGAAGAAATGCTTTTATGTGCCATTTTAAATCGGCGATGAGAAATGGGCAAGGTGTGATGCCCTTAGGTATAGAAATGCCCTGACGTCAGCACGTCTGTTTCTCCTAGGAGCCCGGATGAAATGCAAGGCTGGATAAACAAAATTAACTGTGTCGCAGCTGTGTTCTCCGCACCACCGTTCCCCGCAGCCATTGGGTCTCAGAAGAAGTTCAGCCGCCCACTTCTGCCTGCCACTACAACCAAGCTGTCTCAGGCAAGTCACTCTGGCAGGGCTTTGGCCTTGGAAATATTTGTGTGTTAATATTGCTCCACATGTGGGGGGCAGCGGTGAGACCTTGCTCTGGAATGGGTCAAAATACAGTATACTGGGTTTTAGATAGGAAGCTGGCACAACTGAGTCAAGGTTAGTAGGTCACATACTTAGAATTAGTTTCTGAAATTTATATTAGTTTACTACTCAGTCAGACAGGCCTGGGTTTTTCAGTTTGTTTGTACTAACAGCTCATTTTTTTTTCTTTTAACGAACTAGCTAATGTTAGACATCCTGGCTTGGAAACAAGCCTTTTATACATTCTCTCGGTTTTTTGAATTGGGGTTTCCACATATCCCAAGCTGTATTCGATGCTAAGTATATAAAAATGTTCCTGAGGATACTGCTCACAGTTGAGGGGGCAGCCTCCCTCCCCTCAGGCAGAGCTAACTGCACCGCGTGGGTTTGCCTGGCTCCTCGGGACAAAGTGCTCGACCTCCTTCCAGACGTCCTCACATGGCTTCTCTCCTGTGTCAGCCTGCTGCCTCTCAAGACCCCATTATGCCATGTCCCTCTCCTACCTAACGCTCTGCGCCAGGGACATCGCATGCACTCCAGGTTTTCTAGCTTCAAACCTGTGGCAGTGCCCTATTGTCCTTGCCTACTCAGGGATTTGGGAAGTGACTCAGATGTCTACTGTGAATCTCTTACTGATGCACCAATAGAAATGGACCCATCCGGCTCTAATCAGCCAGGTCTTGATATTAACAGGCTCCTCTACACATTTGATATCGTAACTATCCTTGATACACTTATTAGATAAAAATGTATTCTGTGTCTGTTGTACTTCGGAGACTCTTTTAGTCTCTGGAAATAGAAAGGCAAATGGAGCCCAGATGCTGAGATTGGATTGGCAAACACAAAAGAGCAAGTCATTGCCACACAGCTGGAGGGGAGGTTCAGCAAGGCCAAGTCCAGAGTGCTGTGGGGAACAAGAAAGGGACATCTCTCCTGGCCTCGGCGGTGAAGGGGAACCTGTGATGTCTGTTATGAACCTGGAAGGATGAGCAGCAGTTAGGTGTGTGGGGAAGAGAGACTGGTCCAGCAGAGGACTGAAAGGCCCAGAGGAGAAAGCCCTGGGGTACGGGAACCACACCTAAGTCATCACGTGTGGTTTGAGCGCAGTGTGTTGAGAAAAGGCTGGAAATGTTCCTAGAGGGAAGCAAGGCCAGGTGATGGAAGGTCTTATGGGTCATGTGAGGGATTCGGATGCTTCACTAGCTCCCCAGCATCCTCGGGATAACTTGAAAGCAGCAAAGCAATGTGATTAAAAAGTCATTCTTGTTGCAATAGGAAAGATTTATTAGAGAGGGAAATTTCTAGAAGCAGAAAGGCAGTTTTACACTCTTAAAAAAATATTTATTTCGGAGAGAGAGAGAAATTCATTTGGGGTTCTATTTATATATGCATTCATTGGTTGATTCTTGCATGTGCTCTGGCCGGGACTCACGCACAACTTTGGGATTTGGAATGACACTCTAAGCAACTGAACACCCAGCCAGGGCAGAAGGCTACTTTAAAGGCACTTTCGGTAATGCAGAGGGAACGTAACTGAGTTAGTTGTAGAAGAGATGGATGGAAGTGGAAGTAGGTGAGCGCTCCCCAGGGTACGGAATGGATCATCCTGTGGCTCAGTGAAATGCAGGATTCAGGGCCACCACCTGGGCTTGAGCAGCTGAGGAGGGTGAAGTCTGACCTGGCCTTTGGCACCACGTTGCCCCCTGGTTTCCTCCTGCTGCTTCTTGCCTGAGTCCTTTCCTCTTTCTGACTGCAAGCGTTGTAGTGCCTGGTGCTCAGAAGCAGATCAGACAGACACTCAGCAATGTTTTTGTTTGTTGAAAACAAAACAACAACAACAACAACAACAACAAAACAGGGAGAATGTTGTGCCAAGAAAAGGAAGAAGAAAAGTCAAGTAAAAATAGGAGAGAAATGTCTCCTATGATGTGGTGGGAGGTCGTTGGGTCCGTTGGTGAGAGCAGAATGGAGTGATGAGAGAAGAAGCCATGTTGGTCTTTGCAGAAGAAATGAAAGGCAGTAAGGAAGTGGAGGAAGGGCCAAGTCTCACCCTATGTTTATAAAAAAAAAACAGACTGGCAGCAAGAAGAGGGGAGACAGTTTCAGGAAAGGTTCTTTTGTTTTTGTAAATTCACAATTATTACTAACTTGAATTGGATGCTTGTTCAACATGTAAGCCATTGCTAGCATGATGCAGTGCATAGACTGCCCAGAAAGCTGGTAAGGATAGAAAGGATGAAGCCAGCTCACTTTACATGGCAGAATGGCATTTAATTTTCAAGGATAATAAACACTCTTAAAGTAAAAGGAAGGCGTTACCTCTTATTGATGACCAGAGAATATGTTCACAGATTTCTCCATCTACCCAAATGAGATCTGGACTCTTAAAGCAAATGCAGTTCCTCACTCTATTTTTATATTTAACATAATGTTCACATAATTGTACTTCACACAAACAATAAAACACATTACATAAGGTCAGAAGAGGAAAAACAATTGAACCACTAGAGGGGAAAAATACCTTCAGAAATGGAGTTCTCTTAATTTCATTAGGGATTTCGCAGTGGTTGTGTTTCAACAGATTGGTCTTTCTCACAATTACTCCTATGAAAGATTCATGGCAGAAGGGGAGCTGAAGGAGGAACATTAATAAGCATAGAACAACATCCGAGTTTTTCCTTGTTCTTTCCTCACTACAGAATCTGCATTTCTATTTACTTTCTACTTTGAAAAATGTGCTATTGTCCTGTGTGGGCTATATATTAGTAAGTCACTTAGTACTTGTACATGAAAATGAATGTGTTCATCTACTTGTCTACTTTTACTGTGAGACCAGGCAGGCAAGCACCTTTATCGAGACAGAATCTCTAATTTAAATAAATCTTATTCACAATGATGAATTCAAGATTTTAAATAACCAAAAACAGTATCCTCCTGTGTTACGACAGACAAGATAACCAAGCCCTTTCAAGAATTTAATTACTTTGTAAAATAAAAAGTTGCTTGCCTTCCCTGCACATAAATCACCAAACCTTTGCGGGCCTCATTTTTCCCTCTGGAGAACACGGAGATCATTCTAGAATGGTTTTAAGGTTCTATCGTTAGCTCTGTTGTTTCATTTTAATTTTTTTTTACCCATGTCATCGTGTTTATTTACTAAATGGAAAAAAAAATGTTTTACCTTTGAGAGCAAAAGGGCAATTTAGAAACCAATGTGTAAAGCCTCCCAATGATCCAGGACAGATTAGAAGGAGGGAAGAAGCAGCGGGTCACATATAGCCCAGTGCGGGCGTTTGGGCCTCCCTGCACTGCAGTGGCCTTTGCTGGAGTCGTCCCGCACCTTCAGTGAATCCCAGGATGTGTCCGGACGCCCTGAGTTAGTCCTTCAGGGCCTTGCACAGGGTCCTCACCTGCAGCTCCGGCATTCTCAGCCTCGGCTCTGACAGTTTGGCCTGGGGGATTCTCTGTTGCAGGGTGAATTGTGGGATGTTTAGCAATATCCCAGCCTTTACCCACTGGTGCCAGTATCTCCCCGGAGCTGTGAAATCCAAAAACATCTTCAGACATTGCCACATGTCCTGGGGGGTCAACATCCAGCCCCTGCCACAGAGAGCCACTGCTTCAGCCTAGCCATCTTCCCTTTCTCCATACGCCCCAGCCTGGCTGTGACTTCCCTAGATGCCAGCACACCGGGATGATTTCAATGTACAAAATACATGCACAGCACTGTGAGTGCCCTGCTGGATAAAAGGTAAACAGTCTTAGGGAAAAACTAAACATTCAATTAAAAGGTTATTTGGTGCTTTTACAGGTACATTGTTCATCACCCTGTCATCTGTGAGCTTTTCTTTCATTTATTCTTGTCTTTGATCCAGAACATGTTAGCCTTCATTATTAAAGCTGGCAATTTCAGTGCAGGGTGGTTCTTCGGAGCAGCTGCGCTGTGTGGGCGGGTCACCTTCTTCTGCTGTTTTCCCTGGCAGCGCTGCCAGAGCATTTCTCCTGTGGTGGGTGGAGGGCCCAGTTTGGAAGTGTAAGTCTCATTTCTCTTGCTGGTGTAACACTCCAGACAGGACAGCCCTATCAGGACCAAGTAATTTACAGTCAGTCCTATCAGGACCAAGTAGTCATTTACAGACTTGAGTGTGCACAGGATTGATATAAGTAGGTCTTTGCACCTACCCACCAGAATCTTAAAAGTTTCTACAGAGATCTTCACTGGGCTCCATTGCTTGTGCCATGCAGATGGTCTCAGCAACACCTACTCTTGCAAGGCTATGTCTGTCGGTTTCTAGTGTGTGAAAGGTAAGGGGAAAGCACATTCCAGGGACAGAAGAGGGGGTGCGGAGCCTCTGATTGCCTGGGTCCAGCTCCAAGATCAGCAGAGGTCACAGCCCCTTGAGGTCCTGCTCTCACAGGCAGACGGGTGGGATTTCAATAGAGGAAGTCATTCTGGGAGTCATGTCCCTCACTGGCCAGAACACCCTCTTCCCGCACCATTCAATCCCACACTCTCAGTCACAGATTTCTCATATCCTACTCACTTCCCTTAATTCAGACTTTGTCATCTTTTACCTAGATCAGTGGTCTTACGACTTTTTAAATCATTCACCTTATCAGTACTAAGTATTTGAGTAGACAGATATCCCACAGTACATATGCAATTCTTTATATAAAATGTATTGCATGTCCTACTATCAATACAGCATGAAAAAAAATGCTCAACCTCATTAGTCATTAAGGAAATAAAGTGGAAGTCAAAACCACTTATTAGGGGTGGCTATGACTGTTTTAAATCTTTTTATTTACAAAAGGAAAATAATGTGTTGGCGTGGATATGGAGAAATTAGAACTCTCATGCATTGCTGGTTGGGGTGTAAAATGAAGCAGCTACTTTGGAAAACAGTTTGGTGGTTCCGCAAATG